GGCGAGGGTTATGCGCTGCCAGGACCTCATCTCAATAGCTGAGTATAATGCAACATATGTGTACGCAGAATAATAAAAAATGCCTACACTGGGGACTCGCTGTCGATATAGTCGACAACGTCGGCGAGCCAAGCAATTTCATTTCGTTTGCCCTGAAAAGGCACCCAAAAGCGCTCCCATTGTTGTTTGTCTGTTTATTAAATTGTTGCTCCGCATCCCCGACAGGGATGAGGGGAATTTTGGATATAGAGGGGTAAAAGGTTGATGGGGCGGGGCCACCTTTGTTAATCGTCAAGCTGGCAATAAATCTTCTACGTGGCATTTTCGACGGGAATCGGAATCGGAATTGGGTTTGAAATGTAATTCCCGACTTGACATTTTTCATGCTTACATGAATCCTCCGCACAGATACTCACTCACATACTCATTCCTTTGTAGTAGACAAAAGAGAAAGGAAGAAGGGGTAAGATATACAAGCATACATATATTAAACTCTCGTTGATTGTTTTGCCAAATATAATTGTATGACAAGATATGTATGTGGCATGCAAAGAGCAGAGGCTTTTTCTGAGTTTCCAAAATACGTACGTATGTAAGTACATAAATACATACATATGTGTGTATCTACATACTCGTACGATGATGCGGATGAGTGTCGGTGATAAAATGGAGTCCACTAAAGTGGAGTATCCAACTAGCACGACATCGTTAACTGTTGGGAAATACTATAAAATTAGACCTTTCTGGTTTAGTATAATATAATATAATAAAATATAATATATAATCGCACAGATTATGGAATTTTAAATATGATAAATTGTCAAACAAATGAAATTGTTGCGTTGCACACTAGTCAGAAAACATTAAAAAATAATTTTTAAAAAATTAAAAAAAAAAAAGATTTAAAAAAAAAATTGTTTATATAAATATTAAACTGAAAATGTTTAAAAAAATAGCTTTATTATTTAAGAAGAAGAATTATTTTAGATTGGCTGTTTTGCACAGTGTGCGTTGAAGCCAAAGGAAAACCGCATTGCTTGTCAAGGAGGGAATGCGGTAAATCTCACCCAACTGCGACTGACACCCGTGGCAGCCCACATTAATATTCCAAAGTCCCCCCGGCCAATACTTTAAAAGATATTCCCCCAACTTGACATTGAGGGTAGGCGAATTGAATTTAAATTTGCTGATTATGCTCGAGTAGTGCGAATAATGGTTATATTGAGCCATAAAAGAAATTAAGTCAAACATTATTCTTGGCTGAGTACTCTGCTTTCGCCCCCACTCTCTCTTCCTTCTGTGGGTAATATTTTAAAACAACTTTCACCACCTTTTGAGACCGGGTCGAGCGGCTCATGCTCAAATATTATTGATACATCGGCGGTCTCTCAATGGTTTGTGAACGATTTCTAAAGAGTCGCTACCGCTGCATTGCTGGAGGCGGAGCGAAGCTGTGCCCGCGGGGGGCCACACGTCCAGAAATATTCGTACTTATTCCCCTGGCTGAAGCTGCGACGCACATTACACTTTTTTCGACATACTCTCGAGTGCTGTTCGAGGGGCTTACGGATGATTTTCTTGGATTTGCTTTATGAAATTTCCCAATTTTACAATTTTTACAATCTGCGCGACGGGCGGGCGTAAGGAGGAAATTACTCCAAGATGAGCGATTTTTGTATGTAATTTCAAAATGATTATTACTTTGAGAGGCGGAGGGCATGGGCGATGGTGGTGTGAAGAGGGGGACAGAAACACAGGGCAGAAGGGGGAGGGAAGAAATCAATGCATAAATTACAAAATACAGCCGGCAGACAAAAGCTGATCTTTATTGTTATTCAAATCATTTGGCAGCTGCTCCTGCTCCTGTCTTGCGCTGCTCCTCCTCCTGGTCCTGCTTGTCATTTGAAGTTGAGTTTTGAGGCGGCGCTGATGATAATGATTGAGTGGCACATGATGCTGCTCCGCTTCGCGTCTACAATCTACTCCGTGTCGGACTAAGCTGCCAATAATTCGGAGCATGTGCTCTAGCTTTTAGCGCCTTTGAGCCTGAGGCTTCCAAGCTGTCGATTTCCCAAGCGACTCTGCCTAATCCGCTGGAGATGTCATGTAATTAGGCCGCGTCTTCTTTGCGACACTGAAGCTGTCTTTAAATTAAACTCGGATGCGGTTCCGCTTTCGTTTTGGTTTGGGAGTGGAATTCTTTTCCCCCACCCGTCATGAATTTCAAGAGCACCTCAGATACTCATTAACTTGTTCTCATTGTTTTCCTCTTCTCCATAATATATTTTCACAGGAGGCACTGATAATGTAATGTAAACTTTGCGGTCACGTGCAGCGACCCCCGTTCATGTAAGTAAATCAAAGAAAATTACCAACAGAACACATAACATACCACACACATGGGCCAAGGGCACTCCCAGAACCCATCTCAAATTCAAGTTTCTCCTCCGCCCTGAAAAAGGTTCACAAGTGTTTTGACATTTAAACGCGTTTTGTGATCCAAATGACCACCAACAAGAGGCGGTGGGCAAATGACATGAGGTCTATTGCCCAGGGGAGCCCTTACACTTGTGCTGTGCACTGCGAATGCTTTGAAAATCCCAGGACAACTGTGAGAACCAACCCTGGGAAACTGTAATCAACTTCGAGTTGCCAAACTGTGGGACTCACATATAGATTTCGGGATGTAGGATAGTATGATTTCTAGTTTGATCTACGGCTATAACTCATGCTAATAAATAGGTTCCTAAATATGTTTACATTCTAAAAGGTTCAAAAGGGTTTTCATCCTCTGGCTGTCGCTGCTGCATTGGCGGCGGCCTGTTGTGCAATTCCCACAACCTGAATGGTGGCATTTCGGTGTGCTGGCCAACGCGTTCCTAAATAGAATAATACGAGCATCCGTAGAGATTCTAATGAATTATTGACCTGCGTCTTACCTCACAAGTCTTTTTCATAGTTTCTCCAGCCAGCCGGCTTCCGATTGTCCCACGCTGATGGCCAGGTTCAGAGCAACAAAGATGAAGATCTCGTTGAATTCATGATGAGAATCTTGGAGTGTTTTTGTGATTGTAGACAGCAAATGCTGCTGATGTGGCTATTTTTGTATGCGTTGGGTGACTGCTGATTTGCCTGAAACGACTGTTCCGGGGAATTTCTCTGCTAGACAAGAAAGACAACGACCAGATTCGATGGATACTTACTGTGAATCCCCGATCAGAACAGAAAATATCATAGCGTGGTGTTTGGCCAGATGCTGATACGAGCTTTATTGGATTGATACTCGTACACCGGGAAGAGCGGGAATTCACACAGAGACCTCACACACAACTGTACGTGGTCTATGCGAGGAGATGTCCCTGGCTCGGGCGTGCCGGGCGGACCTTTGTTCACATATCAACCACCACAAATGTAACTTTAATTTCAACCATAAAAAACCAACAACAACAACTGCAAGAAAAAATTATGAGGGGGCAGACAATAGACTCGAAGCAAAGACAACAAATGAATTAAATCAGTAGGGGAGGCTCAAACACAACACAACACACTCACACAAACACAAACACAGCAAGTCAGATATGGAGAGGGTAGGATGATATGCGCCTTGTCAGGATATGCCACTAATTTCCTTAACAAGTAAAAACGCTTTATTCATCTTGGGCCTTGACTTTGCCTTACACTCTTATGCCACATAACAGACTCTGCTACTGCTGCTTCTGATGCTCCTTTCCGGTCCTGTTGCCGCACAAAATGTAAATAAAATCGCTCGAATTAACCGCTGAGTGACAGCTACAAGTGGCAGGAGACTTGCCACAAGGAGGAGACACAAAAGGAGTGGGATAGCGAAACAGAGTTCTGTGTCATAACTGCCACTGCTTGTCCTTAGACAAGTTGCTTAAGTCCACAGCAGCGTAAGTAAGTGGGTAAATACCGCAACTGGTTCCTGGATATACTCAAGCCTAAGAGCGATCCCAAAAGCCCAGTGAACTTCAGTTGTAAAACAAAACTTGGAGACTATTCTCGACTTGAGCTTAACAAATTAATGGGAAAGATCGAATACATAGCAGAAGGAAGAACGAAAAACAAAAAATGCTTACCTACATGTACGTTAAGGAAGCATCACTGATGACGAAGACATTGACTTAGGCGTTGGTTATCATCCTCCACTTATTCGTCATAAAGATGATTGTCAGGCTACCTGGAGACAATGGACGGCTATGTAAATGTTTGAATATCTTGCCCGTGCTTAACTGAAAGGGAAGCAATTTGCAGTAGGGGGAACTTTTTGCCTCAGTCGCGACTGGGAATCACCAGAGCGGGCCCAGGGCACCATAACTGATATTGATAAAGCAGAGACGCGCTGATAAAAAAAAGCCACAAGTGAGAGCGCATTAATGAACTGCACGTTCCCCTGTTCCACTGATCACTCGTGAAGCGCTCTACTTGGGTATACTATGCATTTACATATGTACTATGACCAATTGCGTTCATTAATGGAATCATCATACATATGTATGTTGCTCTATTTATTCTCTATTTTTTCATTCGGATGTTGTTCTTGTTGAAACCATAATTCTGCCATTGATTTTAGGTATCATATTAGTGAGTTTCAATTAAATGCATTTTATTTACTTATGTCAGAGAATTAGGTTTATGAAAATATATCAATTATTTTGAAGTTAAACTGCTGGTCTGAACAGTCTCTCTTCATCCCTCATTTGATGTAAAAACTGGAAAACTGGAAAACTTACTAAATATGACATCTGAAAATAGGTTATTCGACGAGTTCGTTAACTTTTTCTTTCAGACGAATATTTTAGTAGGATGTCTACGTAACAGGCAAGTAAAACTATCTCGGAACGTATAAGGCACATTAATGTACAAAGAAAACACGCAGATAGATATGGCCATTAAAACATATAGAATGTATGAAGAAATATTGAACTCGAGGATTAGGAAGCATTAAATGGATTGCTTCAATGTTAAATGTGTAACTTTACTCAGGTTATGAAATACATTTTAATAATATTAATACAATTATTTGTAATTAGGAGACCTCAGCCTTTAGCTGTGGCTGCCACATTGGCTGCTTGTTGAGCAATGCCCAGTCCCTGGATGGTGGCATCCCTAGTGTGCTGGCCAACGCGTTCCTGTCAATAATGTTATGGTTTAGATTTTGAAAAATTTGTATATTATGCAAACGTCTTACTATTTTCTTGCCAATTTTCTTTAGCCAACCGGCCTCCGACTGCCCCATCCCGATGGCCAGGATGATGGCAACGACGAAGAAGATCTTGTAGAAGTTCATGATGAAATTTTCTAAGTATATTTCTTGCGTTATAGAAAGCGAGATGCGCTGATTATATGTTGTCTTTGGAGTTAACTGAACGTCTGATGCTTTTTCCAGTCAATCTACCGATCTTATATAGCGCCCTCCGTCATGCCGTCAGCTCCAAGCGATGCGATGCTGATAAGGTGCGAACGGGGGTTTGTTTAGCAAAAAAGTACACGAGACCGAATCGGATCGGAATCACCGTCGATATGTACATACATATGTACATATGTAAGTACATAGCTGGGGCGATATGAAATTTTCTGTTATTCATTTCGAGATAAAACTGGAAAAGTGGAAAATAAGACGGGAATTCAAAAGCAAATATGTACATATATGTATTTACAATTGTTCCTAACAATTAGATACAGGAGTTTATTTTATTGTATTATTTATTTATTTATTTTATATATACAATTCTAAGTATCTTACAGGTCCAAGAGTGTTTTCGAGTTATAAACGACAGCTTTAAACATATGGTTGAGTGGTTGAGTAATTCTGGGGTGTAAGCAAAAGTTGCTCCTGATGCTGATATTGCTGTTGTTCAGAGAATAATGACATTTCAAGGAATTCTTCAGGTGTCACAAAACATAAAACAAATAACTGAAATCAAATGGGCATTTCTCTTGCTGGCCTCAATTGTTGTTGAGGTAACAAGTGGCATAAGCCAACTGAAGTGCAGAATTCTAGATAACCAAATTCTTATAAACATGTAATTAACTTCACATTAGTTTATTTGCTTTATTCAAAAAATACCGATTATTAAAATAATAAATGTTTATAATAAGCTTTGGGACCCAAAAGTTCCGTCACCCTCGAACAGTGGCTGCTACATTGGCAGCATAATGAGCAACTCCCAGACCTTGGATGGTGGCATCCCGAGTGTGCTGCCCAACGCGTTCCTGTTATTAATTATATAGTATAGATTCTGAATAATTGTATCTTTTTCAACAAACCGGCCTCCGACTGTCCCACTCCGATGACCAGGATCAGGGCAACGAAGACGAAGATATTGTAGAAGTTCATGATGATAGTGATTGAGTATTTCTGGGGTGTGTACGGTGAGGCGTGTAGCTGCTTTGTGAGAAAGATTTGTTTTTGGGATCCGCCGAAAAATAGGCACTGCAGGCGTACCAATACGGGCATAGTTCTCTTTATAAATTAGCGGAGGAAGCGAATAAGCAAAGATATGGAGAGCAGAGAAAGCAGAGACAAGTCGATCAAAAGAAGAGCGAGTTCGAAGGCAAATTTCGAATAGAGATAGGCTTTAAATAGAGGTCGGCAGGACGCCATTAGATATCGCTATCGGAGGTACCGACTGTGAGTAATTAAATATGTACAATTGCAATTATTTCTTGTTTGGGCGAAGTGCTCCGTAAGTAAGGCCGAATAGGAAAAAAGAAGAAAGAAAACACGAAAACACATATACCCTTCCCACTAAAAATATAGGGTTTAGCAGTGCAAGTGCATGTTTGCAGCTGTTTTTTTTTTTGTCTCCACATTTTCGGTCTTGCTTCCCATGCCTTCACCCTTGTCTATTTTCCCCTCTCAGATGTGCATTTATTGTGCTTTTAATTATATTTTCTTTTACTTCTCTGTAATCTTAGAAAATCATAATCTTTAAATTTAGTTTATCTTAAGCAACATTTATTACATTTATTATTACAGTAAAAATTATGGGAACTATTTTTTTTGGGAAATTTATAATTAATGTTTATTAGAATTAAATAAATATTTATAGTGCCTGAACTCTTACAGCAAGCCCCTGTAGGCCCCTCAAAGACAAAGGGGTCTTGAAATTAATATTTTTTTTTTTGGCGAATTCAAGACCAAGATAGGGTGGGCGTAGCTGTGCCTAACCAACATCAGAGGTATGCTGTCCGTTGTCCGTTTTACACCTATAGTTATAGTCTTCCGTTTTAGGCGTTTATGGCTTTTTGTATGCACGTTTCAATTTATTTAAAGTAATAATAAGGTAGGCCTTAGCTAAGGACAAGAACACCACACTCGTAGCCGACGAGCCGCAGCCGGAACAAATATTAGCCTGCCGTCCAGTGCTAGGAATAACATCTTGCGTATACATGGGTTACCCGTTACAGGTGAAAGCGAATATTGCTCCTGATGCTGATATTGCTGTTGTTCAGAGAATTATGGCATTTCAAGGAAATCTACCGAGATTATATAGGCCCACCCACCAGCAAAAAAACAAACTAATTAAAATCAGATCGGAATCACCCTAGACGTGACGTTCTTGATTCATTAGGCTATGCCCAACAGGGGATATACAATGCTTTATATCTTCTGTTACTTTCTAGTTTGAGCTTTTGTACATGACAGTACTGACATTACTTTTTTAAAATTTTGTTTGTATTGCATAGGTACAGCGAAATTGGATGGTCACCCGACGATGAATCCGCATTGACCAGGTACTTCAGTTTATGTTATGGGAATGTTTCTAATGAAAACATTTTTTATATGAAAAATATATTTTACTGAAAATTTTGAACTCCAAAAAGAGTTGTATGCCGAACGGATACCAAAAATAGAATGTGATATTACTTTCCTTACATATCTAAAAAATTACATAATCGAAACGATTCCTTCCTTACGAGGGATTAAATGTGTATTTTAAATTTGTGCAGGAGCGCGAAACAAAACTCAAGGCTTTGGCGCCATCTGTGGGCTTCACGTTGAACGAGACGATATAAATGTCAGTTTTTACTTGGCGACAAAAAAAGGCGGACTATTCCGAAGATGCTATTTATAATCATAACCAATTTTAGATATCCTCAAAATAATTGGGCTAAATCGATAGAACACCATAGAGAACAAATATATCAAAAGATTTAAGATTACGGTATATTTTTCAAATGAGAAATTGCATTTTTTTTTATATTTTTGAGGGTCTGACAGTATTTTATATCGTTAGTTTCGCGGTCACATTGGTGACTCGGCTAGGGATGTCATATATTTAAAAAATGTCGGTAATATCACTGCAAGAATCGATATACTTCAGCTCGACAAATATAGATCTGCTTTATTTCCGCGAGGTACCTAGCAAACAGAAAGTAAAGTCTCAATAAAATGGAGGCAAAAATGCCGCTGAAGTGGAAAGATAATGACCACCGTGCGTCTCAACGAACTTAAGGCCATCAAACGTCAAGAAAAGGAAACAGTCATTATAGATTAATGAGATTAAATTGAATTTATTTGCAATTTTAATATGTTTTACTTATTTGAACGCCAGTAACTTCTTGTTGCCAAGAAACAGACCTGTTAACAACATATTTTAGGTTGTTTTCCTTTTGAGAATCATACCATACATTGAATCTTACCTAAACACTACGGGATGTGTAAAGGGTATTGTCAGATATTTATATACTCACATTAACATATGGACAAACGGTCGAAGAACCTCCTGGTTTCTTTCCTGCAGAAATGGGTTTACTCAATGTTGTCGGCGCTCATTTCGTTGATTGTCCTTCTCCACCGGTAATGATAGAGCCGCCAATCCCACTAAAAGTAATCTCCTGCACGGATCCATTTTTCTTGCATTGTTTTTTTAACCTTTTATTAAATTTTCACACATTTTCAAAACTAGCTAGTAATATCAAATAGAAGATCAAAGTCGAGGAATAGTGCTTCTATATGTAAGTGTGAACGTTTATTATTTTTGGTATATTTCTGTGGGATTTCTGTGCTCGATATCGAACCGCAAAAATGAGGAGAGGAGATAATCTTGCTCTATCGCTCTCTGCTGACCTAATCCTAAAGCTCGCTAATATAGCTTAATTGCACTAATGAACACTGAACAACTAAATATAAATTAATATATATTAATATCTGACTATAGAAAATATATGGTTTATGGTATTTATTTATTTATGTATTTTCAATTTAGAATTAACGGCTAATTATGGAATAGAAATAAATATAAATTAAATATGAGTATCGGAGAGGAAGCAACAAAAAATGTACAAATTTGCTAAAAAAAAAAGAGAGTGATGGTAAATGTTAAATAATTATAGTTATTCATAAAACCTGGAAAGGTTCATGCTGTACGTAATTAGACCAGCATATGGTGTTCGGTGGTGGGGGAAAGTACGGTTGGTCTTTAGCAGGGAACGCACCGTTTTTTCGTTTGTGTTTGAAGACGCACGCAAAACGGTACCCCAATCCATTCGTATTGGTACGAATCACTGTAATATCCGTGTACGTGAACGGCAGCGCCTCGGCAGAGCCTTGCTTATTCACAATAGATGATAGATAAGGCCGTGCCGAGCCCTGGTCATCGCTAAGCTTTTGTATTGATTCTCACACGCCTATTCTTTCACGTTTTCAAAACAAAACTGTACGGACGCGAGCCGCGCAAGACTATTGATCGAGGTAAAATTGCACTTTAAACATAAATTCGATCACAGGATTAGCTTACTTCTTTTATATTTTTCTATCTCTAAGCTTTCGTAATTTGGCGTAAGAAACACAAGGAACCGATGGAACCCAAGCGCGAACGGAAGCGGCTGTACCGCGGCTTGGACAATCATGAGCGCAATCTGTCCTCCTCGTCCTCGTCGCCGGCGTCGGTAGCTAGGCANTTGCTTTGTTAAGGGAGTTTGAAAGCTCGCTAATATAGCTTCATTCCACTAATGAACACTGAACAACTAAATATAAATTAATATATATTAATATCTGACTATAGAAAATATATGGTTTATGGTATTTATTTATTTATGTATTTTCAATTTAGAATTAACGGCTAATTATGGAATAGAAATAAAAATAAATTAAATATGAGTACCGGAGAGGAGGCATCAAAAAATTTACAAATTTGCTAAAAAAAATAGAGTGATGGTAAATGTTAAATAATTATGGTTATTCATAAAACCTGGAAAGGTTCATGCTGTACGTAATTAGACCAGCATATGGTGTTCGGTGGTGGGGGAAAGTACGGTTGGTCTTTAGCAGGGAACGCACCGTTTTTTCGTTTGTGTTTGAAGACGCACGCAAAACGGTACCCCAATCCATTCGTATTGGTACGAATCACTGTAATATCCGTGTACGTGAACGGCAGCGCCTCGGCAGAGCCTTGCTTATTCACAATAGATGATAGATAAGGCCGTGCCGAGCCCTGGTCATCGCTAAGCTTTTGTATTGATTCTCACACGCCTATTCTTTCACGTTTTCAAAACAAAACTGTACGGACGCGAGCCGCGCAAGACTATTGATCGAGGTAAAATTACACTTTAAACATAAATTCGATCACAGGAGCTAATCTTACTACTTGTATATATTTCTTTCTCTAAGCTTTCGTAATTTGGCGTACGAAACACAAGGAACCGATGGAACCGAAGCGCGAACGGAAGCGGCTATACCGCGGCTTGGACAATCATGAGCGCAATCTGTCCTCCTCGTCCTCGTCGCCGGCGTCGGTAGCTAGGCAGGTCTCGTCGGAAGCCAGCGACGATCCCCGCCCGACGACCAGTGCAGTGGCGGAAGCCAAGCGCGAACGGAAGCGGCTGTACCGCGGCTTGGGCAATCATGAGCTCAATCTGTCCTCCTCGTCCTCGTCGCCGGCGTCGGTAGCTAGGCAGGACAGTGCCATAACCATCACAAGTTCATCACAGTCCAGTGGGACCACCCAAATGGTCGTCTCGCCCGACGATCCCCGCCCGACGCCCAGTGAGCACCGCCGTCTACATGCCTTAACCCACATAAATGGATCAATAATAGTGAGACTACTAAAATGTTCGAGACTATACTCGGAATTGCGTCACTTGCCATGAGCCGACGGATTGTATGTCGGTTATGGGTCCGCAGCTCTCTGCCATTAGGATTTATTCTTTCGGTACCTATATATAGACCGTCCCTGATGTCGCGGGTAAAAATAATAATAATATAAACCCACTAATAATTATGTAATTAGATTTCAACATCTAAATAAAAACATATCTAGATTCTGGAGCTTTCAAATTCTGGTTATCAGACTAAATCGGAGCACCCAGACACTGTGTGGGAGAGAGAGAGTGCAATATGTTTACGAGTGCGTGTGTGTGGTTGCCGGGCCCGAAAGAAAAGGAGAAATAGACAGAAGAAAACAAGGAAAGGCAACGCGGAATGGAAAAATAACACTGCTCGACAAAATCAAACATTTTTTTCAGCTTCGAAGCTTTGGTTGAACAAACTTCTTAAAAATTTACCCATAAGAAAACATTGCCATCGAGAAATAAAATCTCCACCGCGAAGATAAAAATAGTATTGACCTAGCTTCGCCTTTTTAGAACAGCTCATCACATTAATAATCATGAGTAATTTACCGACGCCTTCAGTAACGCGTAACGGGGAAAACCATTTATATGTATGTAGGAGATGTATGTACTGAACTTCCAGTTCTTTCTCCCTTTTGTTGTTTTCGTTGCTTATTATTTTATTAGGGATGGGCGGCACTGAAATGGAAGTATCGCTTCACATTTATACAGAAATTAAATCCAATCAAAGCACTGTTTGAATACGCATTTATAAGATTAATTTTAACAAGTGAGCGCCCCATTTTTCGTTATCATAAAATCGTATTAAATTGCCGTATGTTTACCTGTTAATATAGACTACGATGGTGTTGATGGCTATCGATATTTTATAAGTTTATGAAAGATACCATTGAAACTGTGAGCCGTTTCGAACTATGATTTAACTAATATGTACTAAATAATATGAATGAAACTGTTGATGAAGAGATCTTCATTGCAAACATCTGAGCCTCGACCGTATCAACGACGTTGCGCACCACTCTCCCACACCTACACGATAGCTTGATTCAGTTACGCAGCGGCTTGTGTCGGCTTCTTTATATACAGGATGTTTCTGTCTGGAACGAATTGAAGATCTCGCTCCACATGAAGCGTGTGACAAATTTCTACACGAAGTCCTACCTATTGTGAACACATATCAATTGCCGACAAAGGTCAAAAAGCTCCTGGGGCTGCTGGATCTGCATCCGTGCTTTCGTCGCATCCAGCAGGGCTATCAGTACGTGCCCAATGCCGAGCTCTCCACGTGCTTCGTGCTGAAGGCGAATCGGGACTTTCGTCTGTCCAGCGCGTTACCAACGGTAAATAGAGGACCCAAGGCACAACTATTACAACAAATTCTAATTGTATTCACATTCACTCCACTCCTAGTCTAACGACTCTGCGCAAGCCTCCCACTCCCACACGGTGCTCATTAACGACGCGGCAATTAAGCAGAAACTCAGTGTTGGCTACTACTTCAAGATCTCCCCTGAGACTGCCAGCCTGTTCTCGGCCATAGTCTTCAATGACATGGAGTTATCAATTGGACAGCGGCACGATTTGGCCGATATCCATCGCCGCTTGCGGCAGGTAAAGCAATCCTTTGAAGCCACCGCCAGAGTCTTGGCATTCGGCAGGAATATACATAACGTGGTCTACGACATGGATATCTTTGTCAATATAAGAACGAAATGATGCAAGGCAATTAACAGAAACTATCACTAATAGACAGATTAGACATTTAGGATTTTTGTTGTTGTTGCAAGTGGAACGATTGACGAGACCTAAATTATATTAGACATAATATATAATTGTACATTATAAATTATAAATTCGAAAATGTCTCATCAATAAGTGCTTGAGGGTGAATGAGAACTGGAAGCCAAGTCCATCAAAATTTGGCGACTTCTTTTCGACGACCACAGCACGATTGCTATACACGTCAAAGTCATCGGGCATGGTGGATCCACAGAGTGTTTGCCCCAGTTTCTCGCTTGCATCTGGCATAACCTTCTAGAACTTAATATTATCCAGTTTACAATTGGTCTCCGAACCCATGTTGAAGTCCGTGAAGGCGATCCTCAGGATCTGTACATAGAATGCTGGACAGCTCTTTAAATATCGCTGTTCAATTGGATATTTCAAATATACAAACATATATTTTCATACGGGATAGCTAAAAAAAAAAAACACCCAAAAGTGTTCGTGCCGTAAGACATTAAACCTATTCAATTGCACCTTACATATCTGTAAGTGTAAGGCATATTATATATCAAATAAAACATAAGATTCATTCACCTGCCGCGGACCCCCACTGTAATAACACACGCGCTTGGGGCTCCTCT